AATATCCTGGCCCGCATTCGCAGATAAATTAGAAACCCTGCTGAAGTCAGGGGAAACAGAGATCAGAAAGCACTTGCTTCTTTCAAAGAAAGTAATTCTGTGAGGGAATCTTCATGCATTAACTGAATCTCCCAACTGAGCACTTGTACCAGAAGCCTCCCTGCAGAGCAACACAGGCAAATCCAGGAGTTCTTCCCAAACTGTTCCTCGACACAAGGGTGCTAAAATTGTTTCAACCCTTATTGCTTTCTTTATTGAATTGGGAGAAGTACAACCACACTATATGTGCATATAAATTCCCTCTTAAAACATCTTAAAGCATTTTAATAACAAGAAGTTTATGATTATGCTTCCCAACTGTGCCAATATCTATTTTTCTGAGGTTACATGAGATAATAACATACTGTGTAATGATACTACGCTATTATTTAAAACTAAGTATTTGCAACATAAACTTTGAACTTCTAAAAACTGTTGGTTAATCAAATACATGTCAGTGATGAACTGGCATCAATGAAGAAATGCTGAAGTCAATGCTGAAGCACCTGACAGAGCTGAGGGATGAAAATAACAACTCTGGATACATAATATTTTGAATATAAAATGCCTATGCTGAGTAATATTTACCACGCTTACTTCAATACACAATGAGCAGAGAGACGCTAATAATCTCCATGTGAGGCAAGAAAGAGCAGAACAGGATTAGTATTACTGAAAGAGCTGTTTAGGATAGTTTCAGTTGTAGGGTAGTTTCTGGTCCCAAAGAAAGTAAATTCATTCACCCAACACCAACAGTCACAGAGCTTTAAATAAGAGAATAATTTTATCATCAATAAACTAATTAATAAGAAGCTTCTAAAGAGGCAAAGAGGTCTTAAATGAAGAGATAACAACATGAACAGCAACAGCCTCTTGCCAGCAGGACTCTGTACCATCTGCACATGATCCAACAGTTTATTGGATACAGCAGCAAAGAAAGTTGCAGTAATCAAGTCCAGAAAACCATTCAACTCAAGATGCTGGCATTAACCTGTTCTTACCTCAGCACTTTTGACAGGAATGGCAGGTGAAGTAACAACACAATATTATGTGAACACAAGCAATCATTTCTCAAAGTGCTACTGGAAGGTATAATGCCCTTGTAACCATGCAGATACAACTTTAAAGCAGCGGGCAGATCTTGAATTATATAAAGGAAATCTACTCTGGGCATTTGCTTTCTATACTGTTGAAGTCTCTTCTATTTTTTTGACGGTTCCCCAGTCTTTTAACCATTTTCTATGAATCCATTCCAACACACATTATGGAATGTGAAAGATTCATATATATATTGTTCTTTTTTTCTTATAAGGTGCCTGCAATGCAGTTTCTAAAACAATTATGAAGTGTGTCTGCTGTGAGATAACCTCAGTGCAGGACAGAAGGGCAAGCTGTGGGTGCATCTGACCTGTTCTGCAGATACACCTGGCTGCTGTACCAAGACATGTACAGATCAATAAATTGTTCTCTTTTGGGTGGGCAGATTCCTGTGTCTCAGTCTCGGACACCAAGTCACAAAACTGTGTCGCTATGACACATTGGATGTACAGGAGTGCCACATATGCAACTGAAAGCTTGCAGCTCACCATACTGAACTATTAGATGAGTTCCCATAAAAAATGTGCAAGGTTTTGTTATGAGAAGCAAAGGAAAAAAAAAAAAAGATATTTTGGGGAAACACTGAATAGTATCATGATGAACAATCTTATATTTATCCACTAAAATGCAGAGTAAATAGCACCATAGATAGAAATAACGCAGAAAAAGTATTTGTGGACACTTGAATCCACTCTTGACAGGTTGGCACAATGATTAAAAGTCCATCCCTTGTCTACACAGCACATTAAGTGGTTCTGGGTAAAATCCCAATTTTTAAAAGCACTAACATAAATGAACAGTGCAAATTTAGACTAACCCCTTTGCCCAAATATTCAGGAATTCACATAAGGATGAAAAAGGGTTTTGGCAAGGGTCAGAAAACAAAGATGAAATTTGCTTTCCAGTGTTTGGCTCCTTTGTTCTCCCTCCCATGCTCTAGACAGAGGCAACACTGGAAATGAATGAAGACCAGTCTCTGGGGGTTTTAATAACAGTTCAAGAAGATATTCTGCATCTATCAGATCTAGCCTTATAAATTTAAAAATAAAAATAAAAAAAATTCTGACCCATAGCTTTGCAGCTCATTTTATTTAAATAACTCCTAAGTGAGCCAGTGAAAAGAGTCCAACTGGCTTCACCGAGTGTTAGATCAGATGACGCTATTCCACTGTTTTGGATCACCTACTTTAACAAGACATTTCCAAATATCTTCATGAAAAGCATATAGCAGATATTGGCTAATAATAAAAGAGAATCATTCTCACTAAGAGAGTCTTTCTTCAACAAACAAGTAATTGCCTTCTGGAGCAGAAACCTTTTCAGAAGCCAGAGTTATACGTAATGTACATGGAAGTCACAACTAAAGTCCAAAAATAATTGCTCGTGTTTATACATAAACACACTTACTCAAAAGATTAATTAACAGATTCACTTGGTAATCCCCTGAAAATGCAAGCTTTATGCAAAGAATTTCCTGAAATATATGTAGTAGATTCTCTGATCCTCAAATGAAGCCATATTTGCTATAAAAGCAAACTGTATCCAGTCTTTATAATGATATCTCAATGATATCTTCCATAATTCACCTGAGTGAATATATGGTGTCTTAATCTTCAAAGAAGTTCACTGGTTTTCATATCAAAGCATAGAAGTGCTCTTTTTGTTTCCTCCTAAAAATATTGCTAGTACAGAAGCCAGTTTAATCAACAAGCGCATAACCTTCCAATCCTATCTTCTTAAAAAGAAATGGAAATAGCATAGAAAAAAAATGTTTAAGTAATTTTAGATCCATTGCATTAAAGATGACATTACAAAATCGGAAAAAAAAAAAAAAAAAGAAAGCTTAATCAGTTTGATTTTAAGTGGTTCAATAAAGTTTGACCAGTAGCCAAGGCTAAAAAGTCTATGAAAAGACTGTAGCTGCAGAAAACAAAACTGCATTGATTGGCTTATAAAAAGAAAAGATTTCTTTTTCGTAATACCCAAAGGCAAAACATATTTAAAAATGCAGTAAAAAAAAAAAAAAACACTAATTTTATAGCTTTCAGTCCAAACTGACCGAGGTATGTGTAACTACACCTTTCTGCCAATAATACCTGCCTGTCCTGATATTCCCCCCAACCTGGGCCTCCATGTTGCACTTATTCCTTTTCCTTTTTTTTCCCCCTCTCTGTTTTTTTGCACCAAAGAATGTTCCTTTTACAGAAAGCCAAACTTGCTCTTTTTCATTACACTTTCTCTGAAATATATTCTCCAAAGAAATCACCTCATTCACAGCAAAACTGCACCTCACTAATTCTTTCCTTAATTATACCTCTTTTTCTTAATCCTGACTTTGTTCAAGTTTCCTGGTTTAGACAAATACAAATTGGTTCAGTACAGATTATGTGTCCTAGATCAAAACCCTATCTGCATGCAAACATGCAGGAGGAAGACCACAAAGCAGGCTGAGCTATATTGGTATAAATTTTGTGTCATTGCTGTACGAGAGTGGCCTGTAAAATATGACCTGACAAGCAATCAGTCTAAGTTCTTGTTAATTAGGACACTGAAGTAAGCACTCTGAAGTAAGCATGCATCCATACAGAAATGCATGAACTGAAAGGGTAAATTAAAGCCAATTTCATTATTTTAGTCGCATTCAGATGTAAACAACTGTGCAGTCTGGAACACTACTAAGTACTTACAATGTTATAAAAGCAGTCCTCACTACTAAAAATATTGTAAAACCCCTGCATCTTCCTCAAAATTTAATTAAACTACACTATCAATTTTGCATAAACATCTGTGAAGTTGCATTCAACATAATAAAATTTAAAATATACTTTTATATAATTCTACTTCAAAAGCCAAGAACTTTCAGCAATTATCATAATGTGCTTACAGCTCAGATTTAATGAATCCAAATTTATGAAAAACATACTATTTCAGATTTGAAAAGCCTACAAAAGCAGGTTTCTGATAATTAATAAATAAAGAATGTGCTAATTAATTTGATATACATCAATTTTTTTTAAATCCTTTTCACGTGGTAAGTCCAATTTTAAAAAGCAGCAGGTTTATTATATTTTATGTGGCTGCTTATCTCAGTTAATGCAAGATTCATATTTTGTATTTACAACGCTATCATAAGAAAAAGTTATGTTACAAATTATTCTAACAGCAGGATTTTACAATAGAGGAGCATGGAAGACATTTATAATGCACTTGATGTCATTAAAATACAAATAAACATTTGCAGTCTGTGCTAATTAACTTTACTGCTGAAGTAGTAGCATTCCTTACTCTTCTTAAATTGAAGAAATATTGCATTGCAAGCATGGCAGTAAAGTCAAACACCGTAGCACAGAAGATTCATGACTTAAAACCTTTCTCCTGTCCTTTCGAGCACACAGAAGCCTTGGACATTTTGAGATCTAAATGCATTGGGCCCAGTGAGAGGACAGAACATGTGTTGGAGTGCTTAAGAAATATGTTCTACCCAAAAGAAATGAACAGTCTGAGCATTGCACCAAAGCACACCTTAGCAACAAGCAGTGTCTGTTCTCTAGAGTTCAGAAGTTTCCTCCTGCCCTAAAGCTCAGGAGCATCCACGTGCATGCACATGAAGGCACATTCTGCAAGCTCATGTCTGTCCATGGGAATGGAAACTCACCTGGGACAAGGACCAAGCTCTTCAGGTGTTATCACAAAGCTCATGACGCATTTATAGGAATGAACATGTCACTGCCTATGTGGCTAGCTTGCCTTCCTCCACACACTGCCAATCCCCAGTACTGCTCCATGCAGTCATGGTGGCACATAAGAAGTGCCCCAATGGCTCTCATGGAGGGAAAAAAAAAAAAGGTAAAGCTCTGTCTTACCTTTATAGCTAACTTCAGGATCGAAGTTTTGCAAAAACAGAAAAGCAGCTGGCAACAGAATAGCTTAAAGGTCCTGGACAGGTCCTTTTCCTCTCCCAAACAAAAGACACAAAGGTCTGGGATGCACAGCCTGTAGAAAAGCACCTTTAAAGGAAAAAGAAAAACGTTACAGTTGGTTGGAAAGTCTTTGTTCGCTCTGTCCATTAGCAAAAGCATTACTAAACTTTCTGAATTCCTTCTGCACTCACAAATACCACCTAAGCCATCGGCTAAGATATGAAGTTCTTTACTATACTGAGACAGAATTATCATCTCCATCACTTGACCTGATAGTTCCCAGCCATTATCTCAAGAATCTGTTATTTAATACTTCACCTTAGTTTCTCAAATATTTCTTTACTAAAAACCTCCCTGAAACAGTTATATGCGTATCGCAAACACTGGATGCCCTATTACAACATCACACAGCAGTAACCATTGTCCTACTTTAAATACCTTGTGAAATATATCTGCACACTGCAAGAATGCTCAACTCTGGCTTGGTTGCAACACATTGCCTGAGGAAGACAGATCCTATTAAAAAAAGATAGACATGACTGACACTAGCTGGACTGTAGAACACCAGAAGCTCAGGCACAGCGAGCTGCTGGGATCTCCTTTCTGAAATCAGTATGGGTTTAGGTCAATGGAACTTTACTGTGCAAATCACAAGTAGGTCAACAAATGAATGAATGAAATGAGAGTCTTGTCCATCTGCCTAGCAGACCAATGCAGTGAATAAAGGTCTGAAAACACCCCATGGACCAGATGACAAAGTGAACTCAGACTTCTTGTAGCATTCAGGGCTACAGTTCTACAGATGTAGATCCTGACTTGCTGCAAAGAACCTGATCAAACCTTTTACTAGAGTTGACAGTCTAGAGGCAGATGGGTGACTACCAACAACAGACATTCAAAGTACCCAGGCATAGTAAGCTGGCACAGCTTGTTCTTTCTAGGAGATAGTAATCAATGCAAATCTATGCATTAGTTATGAGGTGTTTTAATTCCAATAACAAACATTCTGTGATTGATGAATTTTTCACAGCTGTTGTCTATGTAGCTATTTAATTAGAGCATGCTGGCAGAGGCTGTAGGTTCTTCATCAAGTTGCCGACTCCAGTGCATTCCTCTTTCTGCAGGGGAAGGGCACAGTTGGTAGAGCGACTTGGGCGGCTGGTCAGAGAACTTGACACTTGGCAGAGGATCAGTGCATTAGATGACAAGCCAAATTCCATCAGCTTCCTAAAAATACTAGCAGACTGACAAACAAAAAAGTACTATAACTGCCCGTGCTACTGTCTTTACTTTTCTGTTAGCTATGGGTGCTAGATCCAACTGTGCAGGAGTATCTATTTCGTGAAGTGGGGGAAGAGTCAGCCAAACACAGCCACATGGAAAGGAAACAAAACAAGTTTGTGCTTTGAAAAAAGGTGGCTCAGAGTTCTGGCATTTGCTTTAAGTATTCGACCTTCTGAATTTGCACAACTCCCTTGCAGGGCTATTCGGTTAGGGGAGGGGAATTCCTATCTTAGGTAAGGATCATGTGGCATTGCCTAACCACGGGCCTTAGAGATGGAGATGCCCAAAAGAGGCACAAAACAGGGGGGCCCCATGCTGCTGCCTCATTGACGCATGAAACACCTGACTTGAAGGATTTATGTGCTGAGGTCTGCAGGATGCCTGTGTTCATTCACCCTGTGCCTGCATACACAGTGCCAACAGTAATGCCACTGGTAAACACAGCTCTGGTACCACAGACTTCTGCCCATTAAAACCTGGGAATACCAAGCTTAGTCCACATACGCCACCAAATAGCAGTCAAATGATAGCAGTTTTTACATGCTGTCAAGTTCAACCATATTCACACAGGTCATCTACAGACAGAGGCAGACTATTAACAAGCCTGTGAGCCAACAAGACAGTCAGGATATTGTCCTGAAGAGGAGAAAGATCTGTCTCATCTACAAAGCATCCCATCATTACCCTTGGCTTTGCTTTAGAAGTGCTGATAGGGACTTTGAACTATTTACAGTATGAGAAAATTCAGAATCCAATCATGAATTCTTGAAACTAAAATTGAAACTTGAAAATTCTTGAAACTGAGCTAATGTACTATTATTCTTTGACTTGCTTTGAGCCTCCATAAAATACATCCTCTGCCTGTCCAATAGCCCAGTACTTGAATTTAAAAAGTTTAGCACAAGTTGTTCTGCTCCATGGACTTTATCCCCTCCTCTACAGCAGTTTTCCTCAAGCAGTGGTAATTCCTGCTCTTTCATATCCAGATGCAAGAATCTCCGTCCTACTCATTGGCAACAGCCTCCATTCCCCACCAGTGTGCGATTCCCCTATGACTTGGTATCCTACCTCATAAACAAAATTATAGCTACTTAGCAAATGATTTCAACATGGTTCTGCACACATGGTAGATGTATCAACATAATGAATTAAATGAAGCATTAGTCTCACATAAAACTTTAACCACCCAGACATTAGACATTTTGTCCCAAGTACGGCCTTTGTATTTGCTCCATGGATACATGCAGAATGACTGCTCTTCAGGAATGGTCCATCTTTGCCATCTCTCCCTCCTTCCTCTCCAACCCCAAATCTAAAACGAACAAGACACAGTACTTCACTTTCAGCTTTGTGGTTATCATTATGAACAAAGGGTTACAGCAGAACATCTATTGATTTTTTTAGAAGTTCATTAACCATGAGCAGCTGAAGCAACTTTGCTGGCTGCCTTTTGAGTTTTCTATTTGTTTCCTAGTTATGGAAAACTAACACAATCCAAGAAAAAAATCCAAAGAGACCTTGGTGAAACCTGCAAGTGATGCCACTGGTCTAGCCCACACTGTTCATCAGTTCTGCTGAGTACCTTCTTAACAGCAATTTGAGGTTTACAAGTAGCAGCACAGAGCTTAACAATCCTTTCTAAAAGGCAGAAGGTGAGTTCACAGCCATAAGAGTGAGTTTCTGCAGCCAAAAGCTCTGGTAAACAGAGTACTCTTTCCAGCAAACTGAGAGAGAGGCTTGAGAAAGACAAGACAGTCCTACAACTAAAGGAGAGATTGCAGAACTTTCACTGGCCTGCTGGGACATCCCTCTAGCTGAGGTCATGCCTAGTGCTGGTAGCAGTGGCCACCCCAGCTTTGCCCAGTGATAACATTCCTCATGCTGCTCAGGACCATTTTATCACTAAGTTCCAAAGCATAAGCCAAAATCCTTTTACTCACCAGATCCTGTTCAAAAGCATTTCTGCCCTCATATCCTTATTTAGGATATATTTTCAGCAGTCACCTAAGTCCAGGCAAATGCTGATGAGCAGCAGTGGCTTGGTGCAAATATTGTTTTCATGGACAAGGAGAGGGATAATAATCTGGATTAGTTCCTTCTCTAAGTATACAAAATAAACATAAATAAACATACATAAACAAATAAAGGTCACCACAGTTTTGATGTCTAATGAAGTCATGCCCTTTGCCCAGCTAGTAGCTCTGTCCCCACCCATGGCAAAGGGAACCTGTCCCCGACAAAGCCCAGCTATATAGTGCATTTTAGAAAGCTATGGAAAGCAGAGCACAAGCAAGCGTCAATGTGACTTGCTTGGGTTTTCTTGTTTTCCTCCCCCCTCCAGCAGAAAGACCCAGCTCCTCTTCCTGTCCCGGCACAAATTCAGCACAGTTGTTCAGTCGGCTCAAATGGCAGAAGATGTTCATGGGGCTTTGAGCCTGGGAAGCCATGTTTACAGGGCAAACCCAAGGGACCATCAGGACAGCTGTTCACATTTCAGCTTTCAGATTCAGGAAAGAGAGATTCAATAATCATCCCAAATTCTTAATTCCCACGGGAAATAAAACATCCCATCAGGTCTGTTTTTAAGAATGTGAATTAAAATAAATCAGCATATCCAGAACTTCAGCAACAGTTCTGTGGAAAATAATTTCTGATTAATTCTAGATTTTACATTAGTACAATATTTGAAAGAGATTCCCTTTCTATACATCTATATATAGGGAGACATTTGTGTGTCTACATTGGTGTGCATTTAGGTACATGTATATGTATTTCTCTAAATAATGAGTAAGTATTTGTGAAGAAAAGATGAGCAAAATCCAAGGCAAAAGCTAAATGCAAAGAATTTAATCCATCGGGATTAAGACACATCTAAATGTTAAGTGAAAGCCACAATTTGTATTTATACTATATTGAGATGTAGACTCTAACCACTCATGTGGACAGAGGGGCAGCGACGTTCCCGCCACTCGCACTCCTGCCAGGTGCACAACCTAACTTTGTCCACAGCAGCAAGAGCTGCGGGTCAGGATGCAGGTCCACTTGCTCGCATGCATTTTGGATCCCACCTTCCCCTACAGTAAAGCCCTAGTGCTCAGACAAGAGATGCTTAAAAACAGCTTTTTAACTAGTCAGGCTCTTACACCTCACAACTCAGAAGAGCCCTCTTCCTGTGAACGTGCAGCTTCAAGTCCCTCAGCTTTATGGAAAGAATCAGCAGCAAACACACGTTAAACTAGTGAAGAGACTGTCAGGGCATAAATCTGGAGTTACTCGTTATGCTTCTGTGAAGTTGCTGCAGTTGCAACAGCATAATTAAAATCACAATTTCTTTCTGCAGATTTCAGAAAAAGTAGCAACTTCCACTAGTCTCTATTTTTTTTGGAACAAGGCTATATTATCAACTTTTTCTATGCACAATACAGTATCCTTTCCATAGCCCCTTTTTTTTTTTTTTTTTTTTTTTTTTTTTGTGGAATACAGAAGCATTTAATTGAAAAGACTATGATCATTACGTCAAGATATCACAGTTTAAAAATTAAAAAAAAAAAAAATCAAGAGGGACAGGGAAAGAAAAGCTGCAAGATCGAGGGTGCAGGGGAGGAAGAATCCAAATTAGTGCCTTTCTCCCAATTCATTAGCATCATGGAACTGCAGCTCCAGCCCTGCCAGATGGGCATCACATGCTGCACAAACTGGCAAAGCTGCCACCCAAACACTCACCAGGATGCAGAAAACACTAAGACCGGCATTTCTTGTGCTCGTGTTAAATGTTTCCAAAAAATATTCTCCTTCTAGGAGCA